AATGCAGTGCAATGCAATACCAGCACAATGCCAGTATTTCCCAGTACTGCATAATGCAGGCAGTCCACAGGTGAGTTGTTTGTAGCTGTGCAGCCTGGCTAGATATTGCCATACTTGGCTTTCAGGCCACTGGGAGACACGGCTTTCAATGCAGAAGCTCAGCAATGTAAGCCTTTGCCAGAACTTGCCTGGTGCCTTCAGTGCAAAGTGTGCTCAAAATTATATTTTCATATAAGAACGAGTTTGCAGTCAGGGGTTGGTCCACCTGGCACAAAATCAGCATATTGTTATTATTTAAATAATATTTATATCCCAACATTTTTCCTTTTCAAGGAACTCAATGCAGCTTTGAGTTAACCCCTTCCTCTTCTCAATCTTATCCCCACAACAAGAACCTTGTGAGGAAGGTTGGCTAAGCGTTTGTGACTGGGCTAAAGTCACCCAGTGAGGTCCGTCATGAGCGGGAATCTCAAGCCCATCCTGTGCAGTTAGCAACTACACCACACTATGGCTGGGTGAGCAGGTGTCCAGCATCCCAAGGCCTTTGAAACACCTCCCAGGGATCACTGGATCGGTCTCTTGAAATACTGAAACCATCTCCTTGGTGAGGAAGGCCCACTGAAGCAAGTCCCACTTTTGAATAGACATAAGGCACTGTAAGTGTCCTTAGATAATTTGCTAATTAAGATCTTTTGCTCCCATTTGTGAACAAAACAAGGCAGAGGTAGAACATAAATAAAATATAAGGTTGCATATGTTTCTGTTAATAAACAAAAGGATGATGAATAATGCATGGCCCTCTCAGTAATAAAAAAAATGGTTTCTGGTTAAAATTGCATTTCACTTCACTGTAAAATGCAAATTTTATATGTTTGTGTCTTTGTAGGGAGGTGTTGTTGGGGGGTTGTTTGTTGTTTTTAAAATTCCCATGCAGTACTTTGAGGTCACTTAAGTGCAGGAATAGTGTTCATTTCTTTTCTTCTTTTTTAAAGCGCGTTTCATAGAGCTCAGTGTATTTGCTGGTGATTTGTGAACGAATGTGAAGGCTAACATGGCCTGGTAAATAAAGATGCCTTACATAATTCATGGCCCACCTCAGGCTGCATGTAGCCTACCAGCCCCGCATTACTGCTTGCCAAGAAGGCTGGATCCTCTTTTCCTACTTTTGTAGTCCAAAACTGTCACAGATGGCAGAAGTCAGAATTGTACAATGCTTCCAGGGTTGGGGCACGGCTGGGAAGACGCAGAATCAAGTCCCTGATTCCCTGCTCTGGCATGAAGTTCACTGGATATCATTATCATATGTATTTATATCCTACCTATTCCTAACGCTGGTACTCAAGGCAGCTCAAAACTTTAGGCAATCGCTGGCCCTTAACCCAGCCTGTCTCATCAGCGCTTGCAAGTTGTGAGAGCAGCACACCTGGATCTGTGACCTAGATCAAGGCAGATGGGCAGGGCTGTGTCCCATATCTTCTGTGCTGCTCCAGTGCCATCACTTGCCTTAGCAGAGGCCTCCTTCTCGTGCTGCATGCAGTAGCACTGCTGTTACTCTGAGTCCATGGGATTTAGCCAAACCAGAGGGGAGTAGAAGGTGAACAACTCAGGTTTATTGTGAGAATAAGATGGAGAGCAAGATCATGCAGACATCTTGGGCTCCTTGGGGAAAAGTCGAGTTATCAAAGTAATAAGTAAATCAAACGATAAGTTACTGGACCCTGCTGGCCACTATCCATAAGTTGTGTCTTCCTTTGATAAAAACATGAAGGGCACTTAGATCGGGAAGATCCAAGTGCAAACCCTTTCATAAGTCAGTCACCCTTCCTCATCAACACCCACCACCACCATCAGTTCTATGGATTCTGTGAATCAACTTGGATGCATTTGATACTGTGACAGGTTATAAATGATAACCCTTGCAACTTTTTCCCTCCGGAAAGTTGCTTTCAGGAGAACCTTTCTATGCCATGCTCCTGAATTAGGAATTTTGCTTCATGGAACCATCACAATCATGTCCAGAGGCCTGCATGTGCTTCAGAATGGACATGGATCTCCTGTCTGTGCTGGCCATGCATGCCATTCGCTTCAAGGGACAGCACACAGAGCCACTCCTCACCTTAAGTGGATGGGGAAGTTGCAAAGCAAAAAGCAGAGGATAAAAATTTCAAAAGAATTTGCCCCACAGTTCTAAACACACTTAGCTGAGAATCGAGCATACTTTGCACAGCTTAAGGGTACAATCTTAAGATGCTTACTAAAGAGTAAAACCATGTGGCTTACTTCCATGTTAACATGCACTCAATGGCTCTGTTTATTGTTAGCAATTTCCACATCTACAGTGTATTTCAAAGTGGCTCATACTTGTGTGCCAATAATGATATAATACAAGTACAATCCCCTCCTCAAAGCCCCTCCTGTTTAGCATCTAATCCAGACCAACAGTGAACCTTTCTGGAGCTGCCTGCTTTCAGAAACTACCAATTTGCAAACCGCCGCAATCAGTCTTGCCAAGGTCTACAGCCAGGATGGGGCAAGCAGAGGCAAGGCAAGGCAAGAGCAACAGAGGCAGCAGGAGCAGGGCAACAGAACTCCGAGAAGGGCAGAGTCCAAGAGCAGGTTTAATGGCAAGTCCACGTCATAGTCAGGGTACAGGATAAAGGAGCAGAGGGGATACTCGTCAGATTTTCTGTGAGGGTAGCTAGGACCATGGATGACAAAGGGTGAGATCTAGGATCTAACAACCATGAGAGGAAGGGCCCTCCCCCTATTTGTTTGGGACCTCTCCCCCCACCCTTGTCTCTTAAAGCATTTTCAGAGCAGAGGGGACTGCCATGGGGATGGGGAAGGCCTCTACTGCCAGTGCTTCAATCTGGATGTAGCCCAGAATTTAGGTTAAGAATGAACCTGATAGGTTGGAACACTGAGCCAGAACAACCTGACATCCAGCACAGATAAAGCGCAGCGTCTGTAAACAAAGACTCGAGTTTGGGATGGGAGCAGAGATGGTGTTAGGAGGGAAGCCCACTAGGGGTGGTGCCCCAGATCTTTCCTTTGGAGCTCTGGGATGCCATCTGCCCCACCTACACCGCTGTCCAAGGTACACCAGGGGCCCTCTGTTGCATCAGATCCCCCTGGATTGAGTGGCTTTTTGAGCACATATCCTTCACTTCCGGCTGTCCCCCTCTGTTCTTCCCAAGGGGTTTTCATTTATGGTTATAACGTTTTCCTCTCTCCTGCCCATAGATCCTATTTTACAAATAAGGGTCTCCTTAGAAGACAGAATCCTTTAAAGGCAGGCACAGAAAGACTTGAGAGCATATGTCAAGTAGTGTATGCTTTTTTTTTCTTTCCTGTATCTCTGAGCCCTGGATCTTTCCATCCACAGCACTGCTCCAGGATGGCTTGGCAGCAGTACAAGTGAAAAGGTTCTCCTGTCTTAATGTGCAATCTTACGCATGTTTAGACTGAAAAGGCCGTTCAACTTGCAGCATGCGCAGCCAGCATGACTAGTTGGGGCACAGTGGGAGCTGGCAGGTCTTTTTTTTTTTTTTTGGTCTAAGCATGCATAGGATCGTTCCCCTAGTTGCTGATGAGCTGAACATGGGCCAGTAGCATGGTGCAGCTGCTAAAAAAGCTAATGCAAACTTAAGTCTGCATAAACAACAACACAGTGGCCAAATCACAAAAAGTTACAGTTTGTGATGTTCAGGTCACACTTTTGTCCAAACTAGCTGAAGCCTGGAAAAGAGAAGCTTGTCCAGGCATCAACACACAAGAGGGCATTGTGAGGAACAATGGAAAGGGAACAGTGGAAAGAGCTGAGTATGTTTCTCCCATAGAAGCAAAAATTAAGGGGAGCCAAGCTAGTAGTTTTCAAATAGGCGGAAGGCCATCATGTGGAAGATGGCACTTGCTCTGGACTTTCTGATATGATTTTCAGTGTTATTCATGCAGTTGAACTGGACTTTGGCACTGATACATTATCCTTGTGTAGACAATCTGACTTTTCCCATGTTGTCTCACTGACTCATTCAGTTTTAAACCGCAAGTTCCTCCAAGTTAATAAGGCTGTGTCTTGTTTCTTAGCTTTGGAAAATACAGCAGAATTCCTGGGGTGGTGTCCAAGATAACTGAAGGGGTTATACTGACCTATCTAATGTGGATTATTTTGTAAAGCATGACTGATGCCACAGAAGCAGCACCTTTGTCTTAGAGGAAATGTCATTTAAATGTTGTTATGAATGAATGGCAAGAATGATAACCTTGCTACAGTCTGTGAATCCAAACACTAAAATAATGCAAACCTGGAAATTATTTGTTGTGAAGCTCTGTTGTGAAGCTTTTTCTCCCCATTAACAAAGACTGGATTCTGTTGGACACTAATATCTTGGCAGAAATTTATGAGAACAAATTAGATGTTTCCCAATAAAAATGTATAAGGGGAGCAAGCAGTGGGTGCTTTTATCTAGATAACATGAAAGAACATTGGCAGCATTAAGAAACTGCCAACAAATTGGAAAACATGACAGCTTCCATTAAAAGAAAGGCTTCCTATTGCCATGACAATAGCTTTAAACTCAACCAAATAGGGGTTATAAATTATTCCCAGGGTCTTGTTCTAATAGCAAAAGTGGATGATTCTTTCTTTCCCCCCCTGCTGTTGTTTGATTGATGCTCTTTCTCAGAAGCCCTAAAAGATGACAACCCATACCAAAAAATTCCCACATATCTCCAAGAAGCGGGTGATTGATTTGTGTCTAGGTTGTACATCATAAATTATGTCTCCCACTTAGGCAATATTCAAGTAGCATAATAAATCCTGCCTTGCTTCTTTGTGTTTCCTTGATCCTCAGTAACATTTGACCTGCTATTCCCTGTCTCTCTGAAATTCAAAGGTCTTTGCATCAGGTTTATTCTTCAAGAAGTAAACAATAATCATCTTCTATTAGGTTATGTCTAACTTGTTCTCAGTAATTTAATTGTTGCCATTTTCTTAGCAGCTTGCACAGACAAGGAGCTGAGAAATCTTGCATCCCGTCTAAAAGATTGGTTTGGCGCCCTTCATGAAGATGCAAATCGTATCATCAAGCCAACAAGCTCGGATTCAGCACAAGGCAGTAAGAAGACAGATCTAAAAATAAAGTTTGAGATAAGTTCAAAGGTTCAGAAAGTCAGTCACAATTGCAGTGACAGCTAATATAAATCCCTTTTGCACATCCTCCGCTATTTTGACCTCACCCATCTTTCTTTTTTCTTTTGGCATAGATCAGGGTTGGATATTTCACCAGCATTTCCATAGTAAATGGGCCATCTGTCCAAGGAGTACAACAATCAATACATTAAAGAAAGAATACAGCATCTTACATAATGACATCACATCTTGTCTTTCAGCACCTTAGTATCCCAGGTTGCATGCTGTTGTCCTTCAGAATAAATAACAAGCTTCAATTTAAGTAGGGAACCTACAGAAGTCAACTGCACATAAGAGAGTAATTTGAAGAGCCTTTCGGCTCTAATACAGGTGGAGGTACAAAGAAAGTAGATCTCCAAATGCTAAGAACTTCAGTTCCTAACATTCCTTACCATTAGCCAACCCCCCCCCCCCAATCTGTAGCTCTAACTTCTGCCCACCCCTAAACTATAGCATTTGGTAGTATGATGCACAGGTTGAGTTCTCCAAATTGTCTCTTCCCAAAAATGAGCATGAGATTACCCAGGATATCCACGTTCAGAATAGCTAGCCCCTATAGATGTTATTGGTATAATGTGGAGAAATTCATATATGCAACAGGACAGCTCAGGGGTATCCAACCAAGACATTCCTGTAACTATTATTGATGTTACTGTACCAGCCCATTAATTGAACTGTCCCATCCCACCCAAGTGATTGGCACTGTGACTGTGAAATTTGAGCACTTATTAGTTTTATTATTACTCAGACATTCATTTCTTTACTACATCATGGTCAAAGCAACCATACAACCAAAATAATACAATACAAATGTACTATTGTTGTTGTTGTTATTATTATTGTTATTATTGATGTTATTAATTATGAGTAATATGGGCTCAGGATGCAGGGGACTAGCAGGGGATTGGATGTCTCTGAAATATCACACCCAGAGCAGCAAGCTCAGGAGGGTGTCAAGTTCTAGACTCTAGAGCGCAGGTGTTATACAAGGTCCTGGCATTTTGCCTCTTTTCCTGAAAAAGGAGGAGGTCTGATCTCTCCCACTCATGTTCCCAGCATCTGCCTTTGATCCGAGAGGCTGAATGCAGCCATTGTTACTGGTGGGCATTGATAGCCTTGGCCATTGATGTTACTGGTGGCCACTGATAGCCGTGGACTTGTCTAATCCCCTTTCAGTGACTGGCCCTGCTTGGTGTGGCAGCTGATTCCACAAACCGTGAGCTGTCCTGTGCGGCAGAGGCGGGCAAGGGGACCATTCACAGTCCCTTGCCACCGGTCTTGAATCCGGCAGGCACTGCCCCACGGCAGAGTGCCGAAGAAACAGGCCTGCCGCTGCCCTGCTGACATGCCAGCGACTGGCAGCAAGCAGGGCGCCAGGAAATAAAAGTGCCGTGACTCCCCTCCTGCAGCTTGGGGCGGCAGATTTCGCTGAAACAAAGTGAAATGTCAGCAGCCTCCCACCTATTCTCCACAGAATTTGTCAAACTTGGGCAATTTTTCAATCTGTAGGTCAAAAATTCACAGCAGGCTTTGTGTGCTGCAAATGACTTCATGACAGGCACTAGATTGGAAACATAATTTTAACAGAATGATTTGTTTAAAAAAATACATTTATGATGATACATGCAAGCCCTTGTCTTTGAGTAAGAAACTGTGAGTTGTTTTCTTTATCAACCTGTCTCCTTTTCTCGGTGTAATTAACGTAGAGAGAACAAAATGCAGGCGAGCCCCTTGTTGCAAAGATGGGATGATTCTGCATAGAGGCTGAATGGGTGTAACTGGATCCAGGCTGGCCAATATCAACCTGAATTATTTAAAAGAGCAAACTGCAGCGTGACTCATGCACAGAATTCAAAGGGGCACACGGGGAGTCTTTATGGCTGTTCCAAGTGGCTTGAATAGCACGCCTCTCCACACACGTGCAGGCTTGTCCATGTTTAAACACAAAAGGGCCTGCTGGGAGTTGTGGGCCTTTTCCTTTCTAAGCATGAAAGGATTACACCCCCAGTAACCCAAGCAGCTGATCTCCACTTTCTGAACTGGGCTATTTTGAGCCACAGCAGGCAGAACCACTTCAGTGAGTGTTTTGTAATGTGTCTCCCTCCAGGTAGGGATGGACGTTTCCAGTCCATGTCAGTTCTGCTTCTGTTGATTCAGAATCTGTTCCATCCTGTTTCTGCATCATTTTTTAAACAAATGGAAGTTCATATATAGATATATAGATGAAGTTCCATTTGGTTTTTTCTCCGCTACGGAGAGAGAAAGAGATGGAATGTATTTTCTCCTAAACTAAGCCTTTGTAAACATATTTTATTATAAAATACGCATTTTATATGCACTTTGCTATTTTTAATATAGAATTGCATCACAGAATTCAGAAAAGTGCAATGCAGTCCTCATATTAGTTCAGAAGGTGCAGATGAGGTGGGTTCACTTCAACCTGAACAAAAATCCTTGAGGACTGAACAAGGTCCTTGAGCATTTCTGCTGCCTGAGCATGGAAGACTAGGTCCTGGGATATCTGAATTCTAGCTTAACTATTTTTACGGTAACTATGTATACTATTTTACTAGTATACTATTACACTATACTATTTCAACTATTTATGCACAAAATTATATCGGAGTTCCCCATCTCCCCATACAGAAGATCCTCAGCCCTATGACCTCTCCATCTGGGTTTGCCCCTTCAGATCTGTTTGTCTGAGGTTGGCTTCCCATGCCTTTGAAGCTCCATCCTTTTGCCATTCTGCTTGCATTTTGCTCCACAGATGTCTGATCACTTCATTGACATGAGCTGTCAGGTTATGCTTATGGAATCATCAGAAGCATGTGCTTTTTCTGTGCAATCTATTTTAAGTATTCCCATATGGTTTTAAAGCAAACTTGCAGATGGTAGGAAATGATGGGTAAGATTTCTTTCAACATACCACATCTGGAGAAGGTGTTCCACTGAAATTTCTCTATATTACATTGCACTGTAGAGGTCTTGCTGTGAGAGTAAAAATGTAACAGAATGGATTAAATTTTTCAGCACAGAGACAAAATAGAGATTACTTTCCTCATCTCCTAACATGAAATGAGAATATTGGCACAGTTTTAAGCTCTGGGCTTTGTCCATTGTAATCTTGTTTTCTGTCTGGTTTAGACGAAGTGTCATTATTTTTTGCAAGCAAACATTCTTACTCAGTCTTTGCAATATTAGCACATGAATGGGAGTGGAGCAGATCCTTGGCAGAGTGAGAGTCAAGTGGCACTACATTTCTTCATTCATTTCACTTAGAATCCATTCCGATACTGTCTGTTGTCATGATTCTGTCCTGCCACTACAGTTCCAGTTAGCATGTTTTCCAAGGTAGTTTTAAAACAATGTTTATTGTCATCAATTGTCCATCCTTGTTTACTCAGAAGGGAGTCCTGCTGTGTTCAGTGGGGATTACTCTCTTGCAAGGGTATTTCAGATGGCAGTGATTTCACTTCTTTGGAATGTTCTAAGCCTCACAGAAATTAGTTAAACTTGCAGGCTGCAAAGCCCTTCTCTGGGCCCAGTCCTACAAGAGAGGGCATCACAGCGCCACAGAAGCAAGTATTTCTTTCTTGATTTCATTTTATACCACCCAATAGCCGAGGCTGCTGGGCAGTTAACAACATTAAGAAAAAAAAAAATACACAAGATGAAATCAAGTTAAAAGCAACAAAGCCACAAAAGCAGTTGCAACTGAATCAGCATGGAAGCATAGCAAAAGGACAGAATAAAATGCAATATTAAAAATGAAGTTTAAAAACTGAACTGCTAAAATGCTGGGAGAATAAAAAGGTCTTCACCTACCTAGTACCAAAAAGAGTACAAATTAGGCGCCAAGTGCAGCACTTTGAGGAGCTCATTCCACAATCAGGGTGCCAGAACCAAAATGGCCGTCCCCCTGGTAGTCACCCACCTCACTTCCTTTAGAAGGGCCCCCCAGTGGAGATGAACTCAGAGTCCAGGTAGATATGTATGGGAGGAAGTAATTCTTCAAATAACCCAGCCCCAAGCCATTTCAGGCTTTGAATGTTGGTACCAGCACTTTGAATTGGACTTCAACTGGCAGCCAGTGCAGCTGGAAAAGGACTGGTGTAACACGTTCTCATAAGCCTGTTCCCGTGACCAGTGCAGCTGCCCTATTTTGGATCAGCTGACGTTTCCAGACCATTTTCAAAAGCAGCCCCAGACAGAGTGTGTTGCAGCAATCCAAACAAGAGGTTACCAGAGCATGGATAACTGTAGCTAGGCTCTCTCTGTCCAGGTAGGCTTCTAGTTGGTAGATCAGCTTAAGCTGATAAAAGGTGCTCATACCACAGTCTACTTTTGCCTCAAGTGACAACTCTGGATGCAAGAGCACCCCAAACTATGAACCTTGTTTAGGAGGAGTGCAACCCCACCCAGAACAAGCTGAATACCACCCAACTGAGAGCCAGTGTGGTATAGTGGTTAAGAGCACAGGACTGGGACTCAGGCGATCTGGGTTCAAGTCCCCGCTCAGCCATGGAGCCAACTGGGTGACTTTGGGCCAGTCACAGACTCTCAGCCCAACCTACCTCACAGGGTTGTTGTTGTGGGGATAAGATGGAGGAAGAGGAGGATGTAAGCTGCCTTGAGCCCTTTGTAAGATAAAGGCAGGATATAAATCAATCAATCAATCAATCAATCAATCAACTGGACAGATGACTCACCCACTAACAGCACCTCCTCAGTTTGTTGGCCTTCGTCCAATCTATTACCATGCTCAGGCACCGGTTCAGAGTGGTCACTGCCCCATCTAGGTCTGATGAAAAAGTAGCGCTGAATGTCATCTGCATATTGGTGGTACCTCAGCCCATACCTCCAGATCACCCTCTCCAAAGGGTTCATGGTGGCGTTAAATACCGTAGGGGGGGAACTAGACCC